AAACACCCAGCGAGGGTGCCAGCCGAATTTCTGTTGGGAGGGTGTTCCACAGTCTAGGGGCCACTGCGGAGAAGGCCCGGTTTCTTGTTTTTTCCTTCCAGGCCTCTCTCGGCGTCAGACCCCTCAGCCGTCCCTGCTGGCTATATCGGGTGATTCGGTTAGATCTGGGTGGGAGAAGACGATCTGCCAAATATTGAGGTCCCAAACTGTTTAGGGCTTTATAAATGATCATTAGTACTTTGAAGTCAACCAAGTTATGCTTGGTCTCCTCCCTGTAATCATTGAGGAGGTAGATGGAAATTTTCCTTTTCAGGCCTTTCACTTCAACTCTGGCTGAATACCTCACTTCCTCTTCCGCTGGTTTTATGTTTTTATATTATCATACAATAGTGAAGTTGGAAGCATCCTATAAGGCCATCAAGTCCAATCCTTGATGCAGGAATATAAATCAAAGGATATCTGCAGGGTGATTGTCTAAATTTCTCTTGAATGCCTCCAGTGTTGGAGCACTCACCACCTCTTGAGGCAATTGGTTCCACTGTTGTATTGCACTAACAGTTAGTGCAGTGCAAAAATAAGTGTGTGTGTGTGTTTGTGTTTATATATAGAATCATAAAATCATAGAAAAGTGAAGTTGAAAGGGGCCTACAAGGCTATCAAGTCCAATCCCCTACTCAAGACAGGAATACAATCAAAGCATATCTGCTAGGTGATTATCCAAGATTTTCTTGAATGCCTCCAGTGTTGGAGCACTCACCAACTCCTGAGGTAACTGGTTCCACTGTCATATTGCTCTAACAGTTAGGAAGTTTTTCGTGATATTCAACCGAAATCTAGCTTCCTTTAACTTGAGCCCATAGAGTCAACAAATGGTAGTTCAGAACAGCCACAGTTTATGGTTAGTACAGTGTGCTGACATTCAGTAAACCTTAAACAGAAGCAGAAACTTCCAATACTTTCCTTGTAGGAGTGCCAAAAGGTGATAGCGAGAGGAAATCAGATAAACCTGAGGCATATCATCGTTTGTTGCTAAACTAGGGTGTTTGTCTGAATTTGGTCATTGTTAAATGCAATTAATTTCCACTGAAAATTACATACATAGTATGTGGAGCTGCTTTTAGGAATTGAGATATAGTGAAAACGTATTAGAATTGGACATGAATATCCAAAAATATCTGTTGTAAAATTTCAAACACGCTGACCACATTTAAAAAAGTAGAGAACCAATAGGGAAAAGTATCAATATACTGTACTGAATGTTAAAATAACTATTTCATGCAATCTGTTCAGTTAGTAATAACAAAGATCTGCTTGGGGCTGCAGTTTTGAAAATCTGAGGAAAACCAAATCTTTGAAAAAGTTGTTTTTCATCATAAAGAAACCAAATGGCCCAGAAATTGTGTGAATTGGTTACCTTGGTAACACCAGGAGTAAAAGACTATTTTTGTATTCATTCCTTTAGGATAATATATGACTATATTTATGTGGAGATGGTAAAGCCTTTACAAAGACAATTTTTTCACAGTCAATGTGAAAAGTGAATATGTGTAGGATATATATGGCTTGGAGTGCCTAGGGCCAGCTGAAACTAGTCTTGCCAGCTACGACCATTCTTGGATAGGGTTAACCTAGTTAGATTACTACAATGCACTCTATGTGGGGCTCTCCTTGAAGATGACATGGATGCTGCAGCAAATGCATTAAGCAGCAGCTAGACTGTTAACAGGAACATCTTTCAGAATCCACATGATGTTGGTTCTGAAGGATTAATACTGGCTGTCAAAATGCTTTGGAACTGAGTTCAAGGTGTTGACAATGATTTGCAAAGCCTGAAACAGCTTGGGATCTAGATATTTGAAGGAACACTTCTTTCTCTATAAACCTGCCTATCACTAAGATCTTGGGGAAACCATTTTCTGTGTCCCGTCATTAACAAGCCCTTCCATTGTCGGAGCTTTGTTCCATCAGAACAAAAGAAACTTTGACTCCAACCCCATATATTTTAGTATATTTTAGTATCCGTACCATTGAAGAAATGTAATTTATAAAACTCATTGATTGGTTATATGCATAACACCTTCAGCTGATATGGTTTAAGCAACTGAACCTTTGCTTACATCATAAACTGATTTCCTCTGGCAGAAATTTCACTTACTGCTCTTAAGGTGAGTTACTAGGGTCACAAACAATTTCAGTTATATTCTTAGTGACACTATACAAAATGTATGTACATGTCTATGTGCGTTCTGTTTCAGTAGAGATGGTGTTGACGACATGCCACTGAAAATCTGTAAATCCATGTGTTTCATAGATGACTCAGCTGCAGAAAGTTTTAACGGCAATGAGACAGCCGGACACAGTTCTAACGCTTCAGGGGCAACACACTGCAGGGAAGCAGCAGAAACCAACAGTAATGGCAAAACAACCCTGGAACCTGATGAACAACCTCTGAACCTGAGTGACAGCCCCTTTTCTGCTCAGCTCACTTCAGAGTACAGGTTAGATGACCAAAGCAGTGATGGAAAGAACAAGTACAAGAACATCCTAGTATCTGATCTTAAGATGGAACAAGAGGCAAAAGAAAATGGAAGCAAGGTAAGATGCTTCCATATTCACAATATATTACAAAAGTAGAGTTTAGGAAGGTAACAATATTACTACAGTGTCAGAACGGCTTTGCAAGGAAGTTATTACAACAGTTAGTACCTACTTGTCTCTGCTTTTTGATGCAAATAATGCATATTAATATGTATATTTTTATACTAACAATACCATTATTTTAAAGTTTGAAACAGATTTTTCAGGTTTTTGATTCCTGTCAAAGAATATTTGGAGAAAACGTGTGGCATCTTCCTGTTGAAGATTAATTGTATAGCACATACTGTTATGAAAGATAGATAGATGGATATCCTTATTATTTAAAGTTCGTAGTAAAGTTCTTCACGGTAATTTATATCCCTGAATGCACATATTTGAATTCAAACTGACAAATTATTTTAAGAAGCTGAAATTTCCATCATATTATTTTGGATGCAATGTGGTGGCTATGTGTAGATAAAGACAAATCCAGAAGATTAGATAACTTGCATGATAGGAAACCATTTATCATCCATGGGTGCTGTAAAAAGAATGGAAAGATGATTTAATCTAATAAGATTTTTTCATTGATACTTCTGCTGCTATTCCTGACAACAACACTTTCTTAGTCTGTCACTTTCCATTGAACATAGGGGTGGTAGAAACAATATCAATATTTTTAATATTGTGAGTACAGCTCGAGGAGAGCGTTTTGCCCCCGTGGAGTCTCAATTGTGGGGTTCCACAGGGGTCGATCATCTCCCGAATGCTGTTCAACATCTAGATGAGGCCACTGGGTGGGATCATAAGGGATTGTGGCGCCACTGGGTGGGATCATCAGGGGGTGTGGCGCTTCGCGCCATCAGTACGCTTATGACACCCAGCTCTACATCTCCTCTTCACCTACCTCAGTGGATGCCGTTCTGTACCTTCAGCGCTGTCTGGAGGCTGTGCTGCAATGGATGCAGCTGAATGGGTTGAAGTTGAACCTGGACAAGACGGAGGTCTTGTGGGTGGGCAGTCCCTCCATTGGCAGTTTGGGAAACTCCCTCTCTTTTTTTGGTGGGGTGACTCACCGCAAAGAGTGTGGTGCGCAACTTGGGGATACATCTGGACCTGGCACTTACCATGAAAACCCAGGTGGCGTCCATGGCCAGCTCCGCCAAAATGACTCTATAGAGATTGCAGCAGATAGATCACCTGTGGGGTGTATGATATTCACTGTAAGAAGAGGTGAGATACCCAAAGTAATATGTAATATAGTGCTAAAAGAAGGGGAAGATAGTTGCTTCAAGGACTGTTAGTTGGTGCCAGTCATACCAAGAGCAGACTGAAAATTTCCAAGGAGTCAACTGTTGGTTTTCCTTCTTACATTGCTGCTGCTTTTCAACACAATGTACCTTATAGGAGAACAACTGTGTCAACAGTCTGGCAGTGCTGCACAGTTTGGAATACCATCTGGGGATTCTCAGGGAATCCAGAAGAGAGGGAAACTACACAACAACATAAACCACTAGATGCCTGAAACACAAAACATGATTTTGGAGTTTATGGCCAAAATCCTGTTTCATAGTATTGTAAGTGGGGTTTAGTGAGACAATTCCTTCATAATGTCTGTTGATTCAAGTGAGCCTACTCTAACTGTGATTTAGTGTGGTAAAGTAAGTTATAATTGGAATAGGCCCGTTTGAATCACAGGAGCCTATGGAGTTGACTCATCCAAATTCTCATTGATTAGATATGCCTATTCTATATGAACAGGATTTTGGTCTATATGTTCAGGGGGGAAAAACTGATTTAGCAACATATTTGAATACGCCACAATAAGTAGAAGAAAATATCATCATGATGTCTACTAGGTTGCAGCCTGAGTTATATTCCTCTGTGATAGGTTCTAATTTATGTCTTCTGGGCCTTTACAGAACTGCAAGGCTGACTTTCTCTAGGTCTGACCTTAGAGAAGTGGGCCAAAGGGGGAGCTTAGATGAGGCAGCAGAATGTAGATCCATAACTAGTGTTCGCAATCGATTTTATTGTTTTCATAATTTAGATAGTAGACTTTATTCTGTTGACTGTCCATGAACGTTCTTCCACATGAGCCTAGAAGCACATTGTTGGTGTTTAGTCATTAACTTGTGTCCAACTCTTCGTGACCCCCATGGACCAGAGCATGCCAGGCCCTCCTGTGTTCCACTACCTCCTGGAGTTTGGTCAAATTCATGTTGGTAGCTTTGATGACACTGTCTAACCATCTCGTCCTCTGTTGTCTTCTTCTCCTCTTGCCTTCACATTTTCCCAACATCAGGGTCTTTTCCAGAGAAGAAGCACATTAAGGGATCTTTATTAAAAATAAATAAAGCATTTATATACATTTAATGGTTAGGTACATAGGTCTGATTTTTCTCATGCATGACCATTACTGTCATTTGTAAGACATTGCTTGTCCTATTTGCTTATACATAGTAATTCATCACAAGTGTAAATTAAATTGAGATTTAGATGTAGACAGATGGATTTTTTTTAAAAGAGGTTGTCTTGTTCTATTTGCTGCAACAGTGGGTATTTTTTACAATTCTAAAATCTGCATCAATGATCCAGTTACAAATTACTCTCATATTAAAACAACCACCATGATTTGGTACAAATTCATGCATCTCCCAAGAGAATGAACTGAATGATTTTATCCCCATCCAAAAAAAGTTTTTAAAACCCCAGAGTTGCCATTGTATTATACTTCAGGATGGATGAATCTGTTTTTTTCTCCCTATAATTGTTTGTATTTCTAAAGGATAATTTTCTATTTTTAATACAGGTTTATGAGTATTTTTATGTTTTTTAAATGCGTATTTTGTATGCTTGAAAAATCTGACATTTTTGCATACATTGCCCCCTAGAATACATATTTTCCCAAGCAATTTCTACTAATATATGCCCTTTCTACATAGTTTTCCTGTATGCATGCATTTTTAATGATGTTTCTTCTAATACAGATGTTTTTCACACATTTTTTAAATCAGAGAACTGAATCACAAAAATTGGAAAAGACTGACAAAAAATAACTGTTTTCTAGTTCATGCAACCCAGGGAAAAGTGCGAATGATGTTATAGATATTAAACTGTAGAGCAGACTAGCTTCTTCCTCACCCCTAATCCCACATCTGTTGGCAATTTCCCTCTTTGCATCATAGTCACTTCTGTGCCCCTCTCCATTAAATTCAACATCTAGGCACTCTCAATTCTGCTCAACTGAAAGCTAAACCCTGCCACTTATAACGTATGCAAACTGGGTGTATTTGCATAGTTTCTCTTTTTTGTACTTTCACTAATATACATATTCTGGAGTGGCTAGTCATGGCAAGGAAGAAGATGTTGTTCTTATTCTTACTCTTATTGATGTTATATTCTGTTTGATCATGTATACTACAGGCAGATTGTAGCCTGCAATCTCTCCACAGTCAATTAAAATACATACATACAAAATACAATATTCAGATGTAAATAAAACTAGGGGAAGTTATTTCACTTATATGAGATGAGTTAGTAGTACAGGAGAAACAATATGTGGAAAAAGGCACTGGCAGAGGCATTTTTGTACTGGACAATAATGAGATCCCTGCCCACTTACAGATATATCCAAGGCCTTTTAGAAATGTGCACTCAACTCAAAATGGAAATTGAACATGAGGAAATGTTGTCAAAACTGTGGCAAAGTCTTTCAAAAGAGCAGCAATGTCATCAGATGCATAATAACCCAAAAGCTGTTTATTTGTTAATCTGAAAGGCTAGAAATCTTAGGTCTAGGTTTGAAAGGATCTAGGATACGGTGGCGCTGTGGGTTAAACTGCAGAAGCCTCTGTCCGGCAAGGTCAGAAGACCAGCAGTTGTAAGATGGAATTCACACGACGGAGCGAGCTACCGTCGCTTGTCCCAGCTCCTCGCCAACCTAGCAGTTCGAAAGCATGTAAATGTGAGTAGATAAATAGGTACCACCATGCTGGGAAGGTAACAGTGTTGTGTGTCTAATGCTGGCCACGTGACCACGGAAACTGTCTATGGACAAACTCTGGCTGTACGGCTTGGAGACAGAGATAAGCATCGTGCCCTAGAATCGGACACGACTAGACTAAATGTCAAGGGGAACATTTACCCAGAAAATCTTTTGATGTGAAAGGTGACATATGATCATGACCACTATTTGTTTTCCATAGCTGGCATAGAATCCTGTAGCCTCCCATGTAACTCTTCTGTGTGCTAAGGTAAATACTGATCACAAGAGGAGGTTCCAATTCTAGCTGATTTCCAAAAAATCACAGGAATATCCCAAGACAATATAAATATATCAAAATTATCTTGATGATATACATTAGAAATGTTGTCACTGTACTGGAGAGGTGCTGCTGAGTTCAGAGTTTGGTAAGTGGAGTATTTTCAGAGTAAAGGTAAAGGTAAAGATTCCCCTTGACAATTTTTGTCCAGTCGTGTTCGACTCTAGGGGGCAGTGCTCACCCCCGTTTCCAAGCCATAGAGCCAGTGTTTTGTCCGAAGACAATCTTCCGTGGTCACATGGCCAGTGCGACTTAGACACTGAACGCTGTTACCTTCCCACCGAGGTGGTCCCTATTTATCTACTTGCATTTGCATGCTTTCGAACCGCTAGGTTGGTGGGAGCTGGGACAAGCGACGGGCGCTCACTCCGTCGCGTGGCTTCGATCTTATGACTGCTTGGTCTCCTGACCCTGCAGCACAGGCTTCTGCGGTTTAGCCCGCAGCGCCACCACGCCCCTTTTCAGAGTAAGGATGGACAAAACCTGTGTTGTCTTCTACAATCACATTTTTGCAGCACACCTTTATTTCATCCTGTTTCCATATTGGTCTGTGACTATTCTTTAAAGTTCTACATGAAAGTGATACACAGTTTGATAGATAATGTTCCTTACTGATACATTTTGCAAGCAATTTGTTTAATGTGTTTCTTTTAATGTTATTTTTCTGCATGCTTCTATTTTTGTATATACAGT